TTTTAGCGTTGTAATGTTTAAAATAGTTGATTAATGCACAACTATTAAAGATTTTTACTTTACAAATTAGGCTTTCTATTTTGTAAATTTTTATTAGACTAAAGAAATCTAAAGTTTGATTTATGCTTTTATTTGATTTTTTCAGCACAAATTTAATGTAAAAATAAATTACATTCATGTACATTTTCATTCATATAATAAAATTCAAAATAGTTATCTTAAACTTACCAAACAAAATCATTTTAAAAAAACTTACAAATTTAACTAAATTTTAAATACATTGCATTAAAAATGATACTATAATCAAATTGTATTATCAAAATCTACAAAATTAATATTAGTTCACTTATTTTCTACAGTTTTAGTTTCAAAGGCCAAAACTTAAATCATCTGTGATAATCAAACACACAAATAATGGTACTCGATAACCCGACCAGTACCAGCACCAATGGCTAACAGCTGCGTGAAGCATCATCACCTATCCATATATTATTGTATATTAGTTTATGCGTCTTATTATGAAACATAGACGTGTACAACCAAATGAAGTAGACACAACTGCTTAGTTTAAGTTCTTTATATGTCCCACACATCTACACTTAGAGAAAGGGATAAACAAACACATGATCCAAGACCCGACAATTAACAGAGATGTGTTCATTATCTAGGGGTGTTAATCGGGACAATCCAACCCGGTTCAGTCCCCAAATTGAATTATTATCTCAAATATCTTGCGAGTCCGAAATTTTTTCAACTGCTGAATTTTTGGTCAGAATCTAACCTAAAATGATTTAAGTTGGAATTCTATGCAAAATCATTAACTAACAAAATTTGGAAAGGAGATTAGAAACTAAACACATGGTTGCCTTGGTCCCAAAAAAAAGCCAATCTGATTTTTATCTTGTTCATATCTTTACAGCTTCGGAGCTTGATCAGGCTTCATTTTTAATCGACACCCAAATAAATATTTTCATAATTATTCCTGATTTTAGATACTAACTGTGGTTTTTTTTAAGTTTAGCAAACTCTAATTAATTTTCAATTATTTATATTTAAGTTTAAGTAGAAGAGATTTTGTGTTTGAGTCTCCACTTAAACTTTAATCCTATAGTCACAAACTTAATTAGTACTATCACTTCTTTTCTATTTTGTTAGGGACGAAAAATAAAATCCATTTTCAGAAAATCTCTCAAACCTGGAATTTTCAAATCGGGCAAAATCGTACAAAAATATTCATGTAGTAACATGCTCTATATATGTACAAACACGTAACTGTGCGCTTTTCTTATCATTAGTTTCTTTTTTCTCCCTTATTTTGGATAAAAACTGTGGTAAATGAGAATGATAGGTGAAGGAAAAGCGAGTCAAAGAAGAAGACAAGAGGAGGAAAACAAGTAAACTCAGCTTTGTCTTGTCATCTTCCTTAGTGTGGGGATTCCACTCTTTTTGTTCTTGTCACT